ACAATCACAGCTCTTTGCTATGTGAGTTGACATCTTTCGAAAATACATATTTTTCATTATTTACATGAGATCAACAAAGGCTTGTACTCTCATAGTACCAATATGTATTTCCAAAAGTCAGTTGACTAAAGCTCTGATCAGTGAGAGTTTCAAGTCACATTTATTAAATAAAAAAACTATACTATACCATAATTGGTTTTCTCTTCTTTTCCATATATTCCATTTGCTTTCATGTTCTTTGAGGTCATCAGACAGAAAACTCTCCATTTGAGTATAATTTATTTATTTCATGTTTTAAAGGCTCTCCATTATTTATGTTTTATATTCCCCTGATTGTGCTTTGTGTTTGAACTCTAGAGTATACTGTTCATAAATAACATCCTTGTTAGCTTTTGTGTGTGCGTATTTTTATTATTTCAACTGTGTCCAATATTTTGCAAACTTTAATATTTTTTAGTTTGCAATACTGCTTATTTCCCACAAGGCCACCTGTCTTCCTTTATAAAATAATTCTTAAGTTAAACAACATTTAAATTCTGGCAACATTGCCATTTAAACTTCAACATAGAGCAAAGCACACACTTTTTTATTATTATTGCTCTTTTTTTAAAATAGTTTTATAAATTCTTGTATTAAAACCTTACAAGGAAAGGTTAAAAGAACTTAACATGTATAGCCTTGAGGAAAGACGAGAAAGGTTTAAAAATATCAGGAAATATTACTTTTCTCATAGGATGGATGCATGGAATAGCCTTCCAGCTGAAGTGGTAGAGGTTAATACAGTAAAGGAGTTTAAGCATGCGTGGGTTAGGCATAAGGCTATCCTAGCTATATCAGTTAAACTGTAAGCAGGTTTTTATTCCGCACCCCCTATGACTCCTCTCCTGCAGCTGTCAAAAATTACCTACTAAGCCCTCAGTGAATACTTTTCTAGCAACCTACGTTGTACTCCTACTTTTACACTTTGTGTCACTATACCCCACCCCCTGTAGAATGTAAGTTCATTGAGCAGGGCCCTCCACCCCCTCTGTTCCTGTACGTCCAGTTGTCTGGGTACAATTACATATCTGTTAGTCCACCCATTGTACAGCGCTACGGAATGTGATGGTGCTATATAAATAATAAAATAATAATAAAATAATAATAATAATAATAAGAAGAAGATAAGGCCAGGGACTAATGAAAGTATTTAGAAAATTTTGCAGACTAGATGGGCCGAATGGTTATTATCTGCCATCACATTCTATGTTTCAGAATCAGGAATCAGCACATTAAAGTGGCTCATATTTTGCAAAGATCCCCAAAAGTGACACTCACTCAGTACATGGCATCTAATGGTTACACTTACATAAATTCCTGCCCCTAAACATGGTCAACAGATAGGGATATGATTATAATAACTGGGGAAACCTAATGCAACCCTAGCTGCCACCCAGATATGGCAGGCAGAGCTATAAAGTCCCTCCTCCGATATCACCTATTTGAGGTGGGTGTGGAGTTATAATTAACTAGGGAAGCATGTCCTCTCTGGGTGTCTAAGGATGGAAAGAATAAAGGGAGGAAGTATTGGTGACAGATGAGTTAGAAGGTTGACTAATGAGGAGAGATGAGTTTAGGAAAGTGAATGAACTAAGAAGAACCAATAAGTCATAAGGCATGTATGAATTCTCATGTTTCTATGAGTTTAGAAAACCTTTGAGAGTAGTGTTTCATTACAAGCATATGGAGGATATCATGGTGTAGGGGTAGTGGAGGTGAGGGAGGGCTAAGTTAAGGTAGGAATGTGGCTTGAGCTGAGTGATAGGTCAAACACAACATAAAGACAAACATACAGACAGACATGTAGCCTTTTAGAATACATTTCTTAAAATAAAAATTGTCAGTTGCAAGCATTGACTCATAAACCTCACTAGGATGTCCATCTCTGTCTTATAAAACATGAAAAGACATGATTTTATGAATAGCTACCCCGAGAAGAACATTTGTGCATTTCAATGGAATTGTTTCTAAACTATGCAGACAAGATAAAAGGTAGCATGTACTTCATTTTAATTTACCAATATATGTCTGGATTTTCTGCTCTGCTAGAAAAATAAAGGCAAGACACTTAGCAAATAATTAGACAATGGTTCTCTGTCCCCAGAATTAAGGATTGTTGAAGGTCCAAGTGTCAGTTATTTCAAATTCTTTAGATGCTGTCAAGAAAACAAGATTTTGACCTAAAGTTTAATGGTTAATGGGTCTGAATGATATTATTATGGATTGTGTTATTGAGCCAGAGATGTCAGTGGTATTGACTGCACTATAATTAAGAGGAAAATCAAGGAGGACGTCATGAATATGGTGCCTTACGGAAGCTGATAGTGTTTTCTTTTTCTGCTTGATGTCAGGGGCAGCAAGCCCCACCCGTAAAAATATCCAGATTTCCATAATCTCAGAAACAGCAGCAAACAGCAGTTTTATCTTCTAAACTATAGCAGAAACACCTATCAGAAAATGCAAGCACACACTTAAAAAAACCCAAAAAAACGGCCGTTTATTTAATTTGAATTCACTCTCTCTATAAGCGGAAAGAACACTTTCACAATGTTTCAGGAATGCAGTTTTTAAGAGGAAATATCAGGTTTAAAATACAATGAGTAGGTAAATTGTCCCGTCTGGGTCAAAGCCGTGAGGGTCAAACACAATTCATAGTTGCACAAAATACAGAGGAAGCAGCGAACAGATGAAAGAAAGTGATGACACGATTAAACAACAAAATGAAATCAAAGCAAAACAGAGCTGGCTGGTGCTCAGTCACACGACTCCACAGTTTGCATTTTAAAACACATTTAATGAAAGAGAGAAAAGAAACAAACTGTTCTAAACCTAGCTTGATCCCTTCTGTCTCTGTTTAGCTGAACTCAACAAGCCGGGAGAGGTTTTTGCCTGCATACCTCTTCTGTGCTCTCCCTGGATTTAGCGGATACATCATGACCTTTATCCTTACATTGTGTTTTTGCACATTTAATCCTATTCCAATGAGAAACGTTTTATGTGAAATGCAGATGTCAGCACAGGTGAGCTCTTATCTTCAGTATTGACCATAAAATTAGGTTGGAAAGCAATTGCTGCACAAAACTCAGTTTGTGTTTAGAATTAAATAAGATAATGATAGAATTCATTTTTTATATTCATGTGCCTTAAACTGCAAAATGTTGCAGGATAAAATCAGTTTCTGTTCGATTATTTATAATTATTACTTTGTGACAGCTGCTCTACCCTATATGATGCCATGGACATTTGATTTTTTTAGACATTTATTTCGCACCAACTTATTCCACAGTTTTTTACAATATTATAAAATGGGAAAGTTTAACAATAAATTTGAAAATTACAAACTGTTGTAACACAAACAATAGGTTGATGAGGACCCTGATAAAACGAGCTTACAGTCTAGAGGATAAGGCAGTTAGTGATTATTTACACACAGGGGTACGTTGGCGGTTTAACCTCCACAAATTGTGAATATTGACAATTGCAGTAAAATCCAGCCATTGACACCAATCAGAAATGAGGCAAATTCTCCATACACCCCCAGACTGCTCAAGGCATCTGTTCATTTGGTTGCTGTGATGTCAGGTCACCAGAAAATACTACAGAAGCTGAAACCCAATGCGTGTTCAGAAAATGGAAAAGGAAGAGACATTGAAGAGGACGGCAGTCAACTACGGAGCTTGTTTCAAATGTTGGAGCCTACCTCAGACCGATTTTAATATTAATGCATGCAATAAAAAGACTGAGGTTGTATCCTACTAACCCGTCCAAACTGCCACCTTAGGCCCATGACTTCTTGGCTGAGTGACAAAAGTGTAGGTAGTGTTACAGTACAGTCAGAAAAGGTGATAGATTGCAATGTGTACTAAATATTCCGTATTTCTTTAGATAGATGACTTGATGGATGGGGTATATACAGGGTTATTTATTAAAATTAGAATTTTTAGGGATTCAAAGATAATTCAAGGTGTATGTACAATTTAAGGCCAAAATAGCTACATTTTCTAAGGCAGCTATGGTTACACTTTAGCTATTTTGGTCTAAAATGTGAAATTTGCTTTGAATTCTTTTTGACTTCTCAGCAATTCTCACTTACGTAAATAACCCTATTGGAGTAATACGGTGTAAACGAGTGAGAGCAGACATAGAAACATAGAATGTGATGGCAGATAAGAACCATTCGGCCCATCTAGTCTGCCCAATTTTCAAAATACTTGTTTTTGTCCCTGGCCTTATCTTATAGTTGGGATAACCTTATACCTATCTCACACATGCATAAACTCCTTTACTGTGTTAACCTCTACCACTTCAGTGGAAGGCTATCCCATGCATCCACTACCCTCTCAGTAAAGTAATACTTCCTGATATTATTTTTAAACCTTTGTCCCTCTAATTTAAGACTATGTCCTCTTGTTGTAGTAGTTTTTCTTCTTTTAAATATAGTCTCCTCCTTTACTGTGTTGATTCCCTTTATATATTTAAATGTTTCTATCATATCCCCCCTGTCTCGTCTTTCCTCCAAGGTATACATGTTAAGATCCTTTAATCTTTCCTGGTAAGTTTTATCCCGCAATCCATGAACCAGTTTAGTAGCCCTTCTCTGAACCCTCTCTAAGGTATCAATATCCTTCTGAAGATACGGTCTCCAGTACTGTGTACAATACTCCAAGTGAGGTCTCACCAGTGTTCTGTATAATGGCATGAGCACTTCCCTCTTTCTACTGCTAATACCTCTCCCTATACAACCAAGCATTCTGCTAGCATTTACTGCTGCTTTATTACATTGTTTTCCTACCTTTAAGTCATCTGAAATAATCACCCCTAAATCCCTTTCCTTAGATGTTGAGGTTAAAATAAAATGATGATAACAGGTATTTGTGTGGTGCCTTTCTCCCAGTGAGGCTCGGGGCGATATTCAGCATGCGCTCTCGGAGCTGGTCAGGTTGGCAGCTGCATAATGATAATTATTGATAATAATTGTGGAGGAGCTTGTCTTGTCCCCCCAGTCCATGTGACCACGGGAGTCCGGGTCGAGTCGCCCCCCAAGGACTGCCGCCTTTGTGGTGAAGTAGTAGTAGTAGTAGTGCACATAAAGACGTCCCTGGGATTTTCTTCATCCAGGCGTCAATAGCGCAAGGCCCTGTGGATGCTGTCCAACTCCCAGCGTCTGTCCTGTATATTATAGGGCCAGTGGGCAAAGTAGGCCCAGCACAAGCTTTTGTAGGCTGTCCTTCCCCACCTCCTCTGGGATCCCTTGCAGGCACAGGTTGTAGTGGTGGGATTGGTTGGAGAGGTCCTCCACGACTTCCTCCAGGTCTTGACCCATCTACGCAGGTCTGTGGTGCAGTCAGCCAGTGTATTATGTGCATCTGCCAGCGTCTCCACCCGCTCTTCGAGAGGTGCCGTGCGTTGTCCCATCCCCACACTTCGGCCGTGAACTCCTGTGTGCTTTTGGAGATCATCCTGGCTATGTAGGCTTTGAGGTCCCCTCGGTGGTAGAGCAGTTGTTCACAATCTCCCGATCGGGGCTGGCAGTCTGCTGCCTCGTGGATGCTGGTTGGTGAGTTCGGGGCGGGCGCCATCTTGGCTGGAGTTGCGCAGCCTGGCCGCCGGGCCAAAGAAACTAGAAACAGAGGCCCCTTTGGTTTTTTGCTTCTTTTTTGGGGGGAGTTTTGTGTCACACATTTTTGAGCAGACAGATAAAACACAAGGTTCTCCTGGCACCTAAACCATGGCACTTCTGCTAGAACATGTAATATAGATGTATAAGCTTTATCAGTAAAGATATGTCCAGATTTGGAGAGTAATTTCAGGCTACAATTGCTAGACCAACCCTCTTAGTACATTAAGTTTTAAAAACTTTATGGAATTACACGGATAAGAGACACATTGAATCCAGCTCATCAAAATTCATTATTTGAGGGACAAACCTCTCCACTTATTTTCTTATTTTTTTCAAATTTTATTTTAATTTCATTGTAATTTACAATTCAGTGAATAAGCTCCCTAATTATTTAAATATGTGGCCATACAGATAGGATCCACTAACTAAATGCAGTCTGGTTGATATTTAATATTAATATGTAAGCAAGGCACATTCTTTGCATGTAGTATGTTCTATTTAATTTTATATGTGGTTGCAATTTTTGACAACTGCTATTTTATACTCTGTATTTTATTACATGGACGTGAAAATATATAGATTTTTAAATAGTATATATGGATGGAGATCCCTTCCAATTCTTCTATGTTACCCACCACACCTTCATATTTTATTTCCTAATTTTACTTATTGTTATATTTTTGTTTTGTTTAAAATTGTTTCGAAAAATGTTTAGTATTAAAAAAAAAAAAATTGAAAGGAAAACTACAATATATAGATTGTGGATCAGTTAATATAAATCATTGAGCTATATAACAGAAATATAGAAAGTCATGAGCACTTCAAACCAACAGTACTAATTAACTACATAATCATTGCTTTTTGTTGCTCCCCTATTCACATCCTTCTATTATCTTCCATATCTCATCTGAAATCAATTATAAATACCATTATCTGAATATTTTCATTTGCCGTATCTCCAATACAGTCATATCTTTCATTCATGAACCAAAGTTGCTATTAAATGCAGCTCATCAATCTTATGTGAATAGTGTAGGAAAGCAGAAATGCATATTTAGAACAAATTTGCTATCGTTACTTCTTCAGATATGCAGTCTAACCTCTTAATCCTATGAAATCACAATTAAAACGTCTTCTAAGTAAACACTTGCAACAACCCCATACTTAAAAACAGTGAAAGGTGTGCTTAATGATATCTGAAAAGAAGTACTTGAGGCTTACATGAATCCAATAAAAGTCACGCAAAAATATTTCACACACTGATTTTTTTTTACTTCTATAAATATATCAAAACAGATTTACTAAACACAGAATTGCCATCAAATTAAAAGCAAACCGTGAATATTTAGGGTACATTTAGGGTAAAATAGCTGATTCAGAAACATTTTTCAGTTGATTTTAAGCTCCCAGCAGTTTGGTCGAACTTTGTGTATATGGCTATTTATGAAGTTGCACGTCCGACCACTTGACACCCGGTGATTGCGATATTTAACAGAAGAAAACATATAAACACATGTAGACACATATAAACACATATAGACATGTCCAATGGATAGTATAATAGTTCTCAAGGCATTAAATATATTGTTGAGTTTACAGACCCTTTTGTCTGTATTATCCACTCTGCATTTCTTCTTCTGTTCCTTCTTCAGATACCCAGGCAAGTATCTGTCTGTGCTGCCTCCACCTACTGCCTTTACATAGGCTCACGTGGCTCTCATGCCTAGATCTTTCTTAACATTAGGTGCAGCCAGCCAACAGGTCGGAAAACTCTGTTACTAGAATCCTCCCAAAATACAGACAGGACACATAGTTCCCAATTTTTTTTTATTTTTGGACAAGAACTAGCTTTGGTGACATGTGGTGAAAAGCATTTAAAATGCAAATATACAGAATTATTATATTCTGTCAGTCCCTACATTGGCTCCCTGTAAGATACAGGGCTCAATTTAAAATTCTGGTTCTTGCTTTCAAATCTCTACATAATGCTGCTCCAACCTACCTATCCTCCCTTATACACAAGTATGTCCCGTCTAGGCCCTTATGCTCTGCTGAAGACTTACGTCTATCTTCTGTCCGTACTCCCACCTCTGATGCTCGCCTTCAAGACTTCTCGAGGGGCTGCACCGTTTCTGTGGAACTCACTTCCCTCCTCCGTTAGATGCTCACCCAGTCTCCACTCCTTCAAAAAATCATTAAAAACCCACTTCTTCATAAAAGTGTATCAATTAAACTGTTACATAGTTAGTTACATAGTTACATAGTTACATAGTTACATAGCTGAAAAGAGACTTGCGTCCATCAAGTTCAGCCTACCTCACATTTGTTTTTTGCTGTTGATCCAAAAGAAGGCAAAAAAAAAACAGTTTGAAGCACAATTTTGCAACAAACTAGGAAAAAAATTCCTTCTTGACCCCAGAATGGCAGTCAGATTCATCCTTGAATCAAGCAGTTATTACCCTACATTGAAAGATTATATCCTTGAATATTCTGTTCTTGCAAGTATGCATCTAGTAGCCGTTTGAACATCTGTATGGACTCTGATAAAACCACTTCCTCAGGCAGAGAATTCCACATCCTGATTGTTCTACCTTTCCCTTTGCCTTAGACGAAATCTTCTTTCTTCCAGTCTAAACTCATGGCCTCGTGGTCCTATGTAAAGTCCGTTTGTGAATAGATTTCCACACAATGGTTTGTATTGGCCACCTAATATACAGGGAGTGCAGAATTATTAGGCAAATTAGTATTTTGACCACATCATCCTCTTTATGCATGTTGTCTTACTCCAAGCTGTATAGGCTCGAAAGCCTACTACCAATTAAGCATATTAGGTGATGTGCATCTCTGTAATGAGAAGGGGTGTGGTCTAATGACATCAACACCCTATATCAGGTGTGCATAATTATTAGGCAACTTCCTTTCCTTTGGCAAAATGGGTCAAAAGAAGGACTTGACAGGCTCAGAAAAGTCAAAAATAGTGAGATATCTTGCAGAGGGATGCAGCACTCTTAAAATTGCAAAGCTTCTGAAGCGTGATCATCGAACAATCAAGCGTTTCATTCAAAATAGTCAACAGGGTCGCAAGAAGCGTGTGGAAAAACCAAGGCGCAAAATAACTGCCCATGAACTGAGAAAAAGTCAAGCGTGCAGCTGCCACGATGCCACTTGCCACCAGTTTGGCCATATTTCAGAGCTGCAACATCACTGGAGTGCCCAAAAGCACAAGGTGTGCAATACTCAGAGACATGGCCAAGGTAAGAAAGGCTGAAAGACGACCACCACTGAACAAGACACACAAGCTGAAACGTCAAGACTGGGCCAAGAAATATCTCAAGACTGATTTTTCTAAGGTTTTATGGACTGATGAAATGAGAGTGAGTCTTGATGGGCCAGATGGATGGGCCCGTGGCTGGATTGGTAAAGGGCAGAGAGCTCCAGTCCGACTCAGACGCCAGCAAGGTGGAGGTGGAGTACTGGTTTGGGCTGGTATCATCAAAGATGAGCTTGTGGGGCCTTTTCGGGTTGAGGATGGAGTCAAGCTCAACTCCCAGTCCTACTGCCAGTTCCTGGAAGACACCTTCTTCAAGCAGTGGTACAGGAAGAAGTCTGCATCCTTCAAGAAAAACATGATTTTCATGCAGGACAATGCTCCATCACACGCGTCCAAGTACTCCACAGCGTGGCTGGCAAGAAAGGGTATAAAAGAAGAAAATCTAATGACATGGCCTCCTTGTTCACCTGATCTGAACCCCATTGAGAACCTGTGGTCCATCATCAAATGTGAGATTTACAAGGAGGGAAAACAGTACACCTCTCTGAACAGTGTCTGGGAGGCTGTGGTTGCTGCTGCACGCAATGTTGATGGTGAACAGATCAAAACACTGACAGAATCCATGGATGGCAGGCTTTTGAGTGTCCTTGCAAAGAAAGGTGGCTATATTGGTCACTGATTTGTTTTTGTTTTGTTTTTGAATGTCAGAAATGTATATTTGTGAATGTTGAGATGTTATATTGGTTTCACTGGTAATAATAAATAATTGAAATGGGTATATATTTGTTTTTTGTTAAGTTGCCTAATAATTATGCACAGTAATAGTCACCTGCACACACAGATATCCCCCTAACATAGCTAAACTAAAAACAAACTAAAAACTACTTCCAAAAATATTCAGCTTTGATATTAATGAGTTTTTTGGGTTCATTGAGAACATGGTTGTTGTTCAATAATAAAATTAATCCTCAAAAATACAACTTGCCTAATAATTCTGCACTCCCTGTATTTGTATAATGTTATCATATCCCCTCTCAGGCGACGTTTTTCTAAACTAAATAGGTTTAAATTTGTTAACCTTTCTTCATAGCCGATATGTTCCATTCCTTTTATTAATTTTGTAGCCAGCCTCTGCACTTTTTCTAGTGCCATAATATCCTTCTTTAGAACAGGTGCCCAAAATTGCACAGCATATTCAATATGAGGTCTTACCAGTGATTTATAAAGAGGCAAAATTATATTCTTGTCCCGAGAATGAATGCCCTTTTTCATGCATGACAATACCTTACTGGCCTTGGCCACTTCTGATTGACATTGCACATTGTTGCATAGTTTGTTGTCTATAAGAATTCTCAAGTCCTTTTCACGTGTTGTTATCCCTAATTTGCTTCCATTAAGGGTATACGTTGCTTGTGTATTCTTTACGCCGAAGTGCATAACTTTGCATTTTTCAACATTAAATTTCATCTGCCATTTGAGTGCCCAGTCCCCAGTCTATCTAAATCCCTCTGCAGCAAAGTAATATCTTGCTCACATTGTATTGTTTTACAAAGTTTGGTGTCATCTGCAAACACTGAAACATGACTTTCAATGCGGTCTTCAAGATCATTTATAAACATGTTAAATAGCTGTTAATAGCTCCTGACTGATTCCTCTCTTGCAACTGTCACTAGTCTAATACTATGCTT